TGGGGAATTCTGGGAGTTGCAGTCCATACATCGTAAAGTTGCCAAGGTTGAGAAACACTGATCTAAAGGCACAGCTGGGCCAGTCTGGAAAGCACATAAAGATATTTCAGGATTGTCTGATTGAAAAGAGCCAGCACACTCAGTGGCTGAGCGGACAGGAGGGATCCAGATAACCCTAGTTCAATCCTCGGCTTTCCGAGCCAAGGATCTCCTTGTGGCCAGAAGCCCTCATCAGCCAAGGAACCAGCGCATTGTAGGAAACAAAGCTAAGCTAAGACTTTTCCAGGCTTCTCCTCCAGGAGAGACCGGATCCTCTGCCATCACTCCTCCCATTCCTAGGGCTCATCCCATTCCTAACAGGGTCCAAGTGGAGTTCAGTTTGGATGAAAAGCACCAAGAAATGCTCAGCGAGAAACTTCTGCTTTCGAAAGAGGCCGGCGAAGGCGGAAGGTTGCCACCATCTGATCACAGAGGGACACGACACCCTAATCGAGAACTGACGGGCCATCATCGCACTAAGCTGGTACGTTTTTACTCAGTCAGTGTTCCTATTAATTCCCCCCTTTTCTATTCTCACTCCACCATCCAGAGCTTGACCAGGATTGCTCACCCCCTCAATTTTTGAAATGCGACTCCGTTCTGGACGAAACTATAGCGCGGCAATGAAAAAAAAAAGCTTGAGAGAACTGGCCACATATGGAAATCTTGTTCAGGTCTACTTTTTAAAAATTCCTCAGCCAACGAAATCAGCCCAACTTCCTTCCCAGAGCCTTACCATCGCTGGGTGAGATTTCGAAACATCTTCAGGCCAAAGACAGGGCCCTGCAGGTCTCCAGCGCCGAATTCTAGCTGTGCGAACGAAGAGGAGGAGGAGGAGTTACAAGGGAAGCGGGACAGAGGAGTCTGATTCGGCTCACGCAAAGCTGGAGGCATCACCCAGCTGCAAAGATCAAAGGTTTGCAAGCCCCATGCATGCAGACCTTGGAGGGGGGCTGTGGGGAACTGGGGAAAGAGGAAGGGAAGGTGGTCGGATGGTTCAGGGCTGGTGGGATTTGCGGGGATGACACACACTGGCTTTGACCTCCTTGCCCCATCTGGGGATCCCTCCAGATTTTGTTTCAGCAGAAACACGCAACCCCCAACGTGTCCTGGATTGCGTTTCTGCCAAAACCACAGAATTTCTGGAGTGGCTTGTTCTGGGTTCGAAAGTTACGTTTTGGGCTCCATCGTGGTGCTCCCTCCTCCCTTCCTTTACCCTTCCAATGCCTGCTTGCATCTCCCCCCCCCAAGAGCTCGTACTTCTAAGCGACAAAACCCCACGGAAGAATTAAAGCAGCAGGTTTGAAATCCAAGGGATGCTCGACCCACAAAAAATAGCTTCGGGGCCTCCCTCTGTGCAAACTGCTGGCGTCAGTCAGATTCAAGGAGTGGCAAAATCAGATTCCAATGACTGGCTTGGACCTGGTCGCCAAAGAGGAAGGGACCTGCTGAGATCTCACCCGCCTTCGAGGCGAATCAAGCAAGCCTCAAAACTTCCACCCGATTTACCTCTCCCCAGCCTTTGGCGGAGGTCACCCGCCGGAGACCCAAGCTGACCGAGCCGCCGCCGTTGCCGTTCTGCGTCGAGAGGTTTCCCGAGAGGATGGCGGTGTCCGTGGCCGTTAGCGGGGCCTGCACAGCAAACAGATCAAGCGAGTGAGCCAGATCACGGATGAGCCAGACGACGCTCTTCAAAGGTCTGAGCAAAGCTCGCTGGCCTCGGAGACCTTCTGCAGCTGCAGCTGGGGGGCTTCCGTAGAAGTGAATGGCGGCTGATTCTCCCGACCAGGCTGAGTGTCCGGAAAGGAGCTGGTTGCCTCCCGGGGCACAGTGCCCTCCGAGTGCAGAAACGGGGGAGGACAAGATGTCCCGCAGCCTCTTACCTCAATCGATTGCGATATGTGCATTCTGTTAATTTCGATATGAGGGAAAGGGCTCCCTGACACATCTTCGTACTCCTCGTCGTAGCGATCAAAGAGGTCAGTGGCATCTACTCCAACGCTAATGGTTCCCTGGGGAATTGAACAGATTTTTGCTGTTAACAGATTTTGCCCTCCGTGAGTCTTCATGTCTGGATTACCACCCTCCCCTCCTTTTCAAATGGCTCTTCCACCTCCACCTTCTGGGTTAACTCTCTCAGTGCTCGTTCCTGGCAGCACCCACGAGGGCGTTTGTTCACCCTCTAATCCTACGAGCTGGAAGGGAACTGAGAGGCTACCTAGTCCCACCCTCTCCTTGGGGTGAGATCTGCCAAGGCGTTTCAGGCAGACGGCTATCCCGCCCATTTGAAGACTTCCAATGAGGGGGATTGTACCACTTAGTGAGGCAACCTCGCTGAAACCAGCTACAACAGGTGCCAACTCACCCTGCCCCTATGTGTCTTGAGGACTAGAATCTTAAAAGAATGTTTTAAGTTAGCTTCACTATTCTAGTCCATCAGTAGGGGTATAACCTAGGGGATCTTCTACATGCCTAGCAGAACCACAAAGTTGGGGCATTAAAGGTCATCTAGCCCAACCCTAGCTCAGTGTAGAGCATCTGGTTATTCCCCCAAACTGTCCTATCTCCTGTGGAATTGAGTCTTGGATTGGAAGCTCCTTGGGGCAGAGATTGGTTTGGTTGTTGTTCACTGGGCTTGTTTTATTTTATACCAGTGTTTCTCAGCCTTGGGAACCTTAAGATGTGTGGACTCCAACTCCCAGAATTCCCCAGCCAGGGGAATTCTGGGAGTTGAAGTCCACACATTTTAAGATTCCCAAGGTTGAAAAACACTGTTCTATACTGCAGGTGAACCCACCAAGGCTCCATAGCCGAAATTGGTGCCTTCCATGTGGTTCTTCAATCTTCCAAAAATTGCCACCTGAATTTTTAGATTTTATATACAGGAATATACACTTGCGTATAAGTGTGTAACTGATGCCCAAGTATAGAAATATTGGGACAAATAAATAAATCTTCCATGGAATCCGAGAACTGGAAGTCACCCTAGAGGCCATCTAGCCCAACCCCTGCTCAGTGCAGGGTCCCTCAGAGCATCTCTGGCACACGGCCATTTAGCCTCAGGTCAGAAGATCTCCAGTGAAGGAAAGCTCACCTCTTCATATGGCTGACCTCTCGTTCGGTCAGGAAGTTTGGGAAAAGGGCAACGTTATTAAATACAAGTCTGAAGAGCAAGAATGTTAACTATATATAATTTTAAGCAAGTCGAATCCAGTTTAGACTGGGCCCAAACCACATTGACTCCTCCTTGGGATGTGTCACTCACGTAGCTACCGGCCCTTCAAGGTTGCACAACCCTGTTTGTTGGAACCTCAACAAGCACCTCACGTGACCTCTCCTGATGTGTGTTTGCATCCCTGGATGATGCTTGCCTAGCATGTCGCCCCCGCC